TTTGACAGCCCAACGTATTTCTCTGTACTATATTAAAATTAGAATTTCTATGCATGTCGACGTTCACCAAGGTAAGCGTTTGAATATGCGCGAAACATTTTTAGCCAAATCGTCTTCATAAAAAAAAGCATCCACAGTACAAAATTAGCGGTTTTTTACGGAGTTATTTTTAAATAACCTAAAACTCAATAAAGGTCTAAATGCCAGTAATATAGAAAGATGAACTTGTGCACGGAAGATGTCGACTGCGGCCGAAGACCTTATTAAATCGTCAGTGGCCAGGCTATGAGGGGCGTGGCACCTCCCATGAAAGAAACTAAAACTATTTATTCCACTTTGGAAAGGCGTGCGGATCACGAATGGCTGTTTTCGTGACAGTGTTTTAAACGTCCTAAGCAGTCACACTTTTTGTAGCAGTACCTTAAGAAACGGAAACCAAAAGTCACTTTTGGCTGGGGAAAAATGAGGGTCACTTGTTAGGAGGGCAGACACTATGTTGTGTCAGTGGCGCATCGACAGAGAGCTATTTCCAACTCGGCCAATTAGGCTAATTAAGTTATTCATATTGGTACAACAAAACTGATTATCCACAGGTATTATATAAGCCAAATTTGGATGCGCCGACGGAACTAAGTTGGGCCGTCTAGTGGCACATTTTTTAAACATTCGTACACCCAGCCGAAGCCATATTGAGCCTGTACTTCGAGCGTCTAAGGCAGTCCCTGTAGAAATCAGTTTAGAGATTGACGTAAAGTCAAAGGCACCTTGACCAGAGCGACTGCTGTCAACTCCACTCACATCGCGAAGGTGGACGCCCGATCATAGTCCAGCAAAAGTCTGCCATCGCAGAAAAAGGTGTGAGTTAAAACCTTAGGTGAAGCTCCTAATAACAGAGGCATTCAAGGTGTTTTGCTGTAGCAGCTGTCGGCGCTAGGAGAGCGGCAAACAATGTAATTACGAGTAGCAGGCGCCAAGTGTGCGGATGACTTATAAAGCGAATTGACAGGAAGTGACTTGGCCTGTAACACGAAAAGACTGTAGTCCTGATTGAGTTTTGCAATACACTGCATTATCCTAACCTTTTATTGGCCAGGTCTCACAGAACTTGAAGCAACAAAAAGAAGATGATACTTTTAGGATTCTGGTTAAAAGCCAGATTTTTTAATTATTTCACGCTAGGATTCGGAGCTTAATTCCGTAGGGATAGTTAAAAAAAAAAAAATATATTAATAAACGTGATCATCTGGAAGGTGACATTGTTGACACTTTAAGGCTGCTTGAGAACGCTTTTAGGCATTATTTTAAAGGCAAGGCCTTTAAAGAACTAGCCAAGCTATCGTTTTCTCTTCGGCGTACTCATCCCTAATATTTATCTTATTATTAAATATTTACATTTACCTATTGAAACACATGATCATACTCAAACAAGCTCTGCTAGCTAGTTGGTGACGAATTTTCATAGCTAAGCTTCGGTTATCGAACACTCTCGCGAAATGTCTTTCTTGCTACTTCTGTTTTTTCTAGCGGAAACAGAATACAGCTTAAGGTCAATTTGTTTAGAACGTCTGACGAATAGTGCTAGTCCTTAACTAAACCTGTAATTCGACATAATGTACCATAAAACGACCACTATGATACAGGCAGTTGTACCCAACCGGTAAAACACGTAAATACGAAACATAATTGACTTATCAACAGACATGTAGTTTCCAGTTCAGGTAACCGAATAACATCAGGATTCGAGCGCTAAATTCAACATAACAGGTTGAGTCTAATTTTTATAGAGAGCGATAGAGTGTAAAAACGAACTCTTGGTTATTTATTAGCTGAGTTTTCCATAATGTTTAAAAGTGAACCTGCCGAGTCATATCGTGGTAAGAGACTTCCGCAGGACAGCGTGACGCATATCTTTAGGCTCAAGTAGTTCTAGTGTCAAGGTGAGCTGGCCCATTGTAAGGCAATGTAGTACCTGTTTGTGCTGATACAAGAAACTACGCTAAGCAAGTGCATATAGCTTAGTCGTGGTCGCAATATAACCCTCAACACCGACTGATGAATAGCTTACGTAAGTTCCAATTACAGCATACAGACTTCTGATCCAATCAATTGTTTAGGGTAATTTTTCTGCAACGAATAAGACATCTACGAGACCTTTAGGAGGTCAGGGGTACATTAAAACGTTTAGGCTAAGAGATCCGGTCAGCAGATATGTTAGTTAAATTCGCTTATTGGGCTATAAAAGCGGACAACTTGAAGTTATTGTGGAAGTAACTCGCTCAAATAATATTGGCAAATAAAAGTAAAGTTTTGACCAAAATGTTTTATATACATGGAGTTTGTAACGCGATATAGCTAGAAGGTGCTTTGACAAGTAAGAGATATTAACCTAACTGGTCTTGCCCGAATTATTTAATTATTGTGTCAACCTTGACAGTCTTCTCAAAAAACAGAGGTGTACTGATGCGTTACCAACAATAATCTTGAGTTCATGCCCTTGAAGGTTTAGTCGATTGTTTGTGCTATCTACGATTATTATTTTCCATCATAAAACATCATACACAGCAGCCTATAACGTTCGGTGCACGGAAAAAGCGTTCTATTGTCGGGAGCGCAAGAAAAAGTTATCGACGAAAGAAGCGTTATAGAATCGAGAGCTTTTTTAAGAAACCGCGGCGGGAAATGATGCGAAATGAGGCTACGCGTACGCTTGATTTCACATAGCTTAGCAGCAGTTATATTATGAGTGACCGTCATTCCAGCAGGCGTCCATCTGCATGAGCGAATCGTGAGCGATCCTAGTGGGGCACGATATTCGACAGCCACTTAATCCCTAAACAAATAACGGAGCCGCGCCGACTGTGACTCTGGCGAAGAACACAACTCTACGCATACGCCGGCCTACTGCCTAACCTTGGACACTTCGAAACAGGTTCGTCAACGAGAAAGTCAGGAGGGTAATGAATAGGTATCCAGATCGTACAATTCATAATGAGAAATAAACCAATGGAAAATGAGAAAAGAGAACATTCTTAAAGAAAACACTAAGCTAGACAAGGGAGAACCAGTCAAATTTATGGGAGCTGGAAAAGCTGAAGACCTAACTGACGTGCCGGGTTCGCAGAAGGCTGATTTGTGTAGGACAAGGAGCTAAAGAACATTTCAGCCAAAGAGTCGAAGTGCGGGGAGCGCGAAGATCCTCTTTGTCAACTGCGCTCTCCCCGTGAAAAGTTACTGTAGACAAAATAAATGTGCCTTTATCATTTCGATTGTAACTTGTTTGAAAAACATCTTGTATCAGACAATACTAATATTTAATAATGAGAGCTGCTAGGACGAATCAGCAAACAGCTGCACCCTCTGGCGGCCGGGAAAAGGCCGAACGTGCATGAAAACGCGTGTCCCTAAGAGCAGCTATGGAAGTCGACTTCAGCTCAGCACCACTATAAAAGCTGGTCTCAAGTACGACAAGAGCGCAAAAATATTAATATGAAACTGAGTTCGAATTAGTATTAACAAGGCTATCCGAATGAAAGGACGAAATCTATTGACGAGGAATAGTCGGAATGGAAATTTTCGGAATTGGACGGTATCGCTCTTCAGCGAAACCACACACGGACAATTCTTTGCCAGTCTATAAGATCTAGATTAATCATTACTATTATATTGATTTGTATAAGCTCCAAGGGACAGTACGTAGTTCTTCTAAGTCTGTATAATTGAAGCTCTCTCATAACGTTTAGGCGTAGGTTTACAAATCCTCAAGCTAAAGGAATGATTGAGCCAGATAGTTCTTCACGATCGAGTTGTCCTTGTGCCACCAGTTAGACGGGTGATATAGCTAATTTCTTGCGGGGCATTCATTGATACTAGAAAGTGTCCTAGGCACAAGGTTTTTCATAGTGATCAGGTCGGTTACGTTAGTTGAGGTGAATCGATCGTTGAAGAAATTTAGGTAACAAGTGAAACTTCCAGGTAGACTTCCATTGTATACGCCCATATAGCTCATTAGAGGTTATACGAATTTTATTTTAGATCGGCGGTCAGTGAAAAATACACACTTGTAAAAAAATGGCGCCATTTAAGGCACGGATATACTGTTTTGTGTTGTGAAATTTGCGAGTCATTCGCGAGACTTGGATTGCTGTTTCAACAACAAAATCAGTACCAAATAATTTGTGAAAAGCTAGCTAGTGTAATATATACGTCCCGTTGGAGGCAAACATCTCCATTGTACGTATAAAATTAAAACGAAAGTAACTGCTAACTGGTGGTAGCGTCAATCGATCGTAGAACTTAGAATGTTCTTATTGTGCGTAGACAGCTCTCACGATTACTAAGAATAACGAGTACTTGTGGACATTTTTAAATCCATTCTACCGTCTGTTTCTGCCATTTGATATGTTTTCGAAGTCTAAAAGGTAGACTGAGAATCTCTGTACAGATGACTTCATCATCGTTAGCAATTTGCAACAATATACTAAGTATGATGAGCTCATTTGTTCAGGCCTTGTATACAAAAGGCTTGTAACAGCGTATGAGAAGTTTACCCATGCGTTTCGATAACTAGAGCCTGGACGAGAAAGCCCTTAGTCCTGTTCATGGTATCTGCTAACCACGGATATCATGAAAGCGGTCAGAGCTTACCTTACGCCTACTAGTGATTGTAAAACAACAATTTATTTAGTTCTTTAAATGAACATTACATCATTCTTATGGCGTGCCTGTGACAACTCGCCTCGGCTTACCGTGTCCTTTATGCACGTCGCCGGGGGGTATCCCTTCCACCTTTCTTATTTCCGTATGTAAGTCCCCTTGATGTAAGCGTGGCGTCCTTTCCCAGACGACGACGAGAGTCGAGGATTGTTCCTTTCCACTTGCCGGTAAACTCTCTGCGAACCATTTCGGTTTTTGCACTTGTTCCGCCTCTCTGACCGGCCACTGCCGCGTGGTGGCCTTAGGACGACACGAATATTAAGCACGACGATGCGCAAAAGAAGATGCTTCAAAAACCCAAACCAAAGTTTAATTTTGCAGCGTTCAATTAAATAGACAGTTATGGGCTCGTGTTTTGACAAGCTCGTGACAAGCGTGTCCATAACGATATGCGCTAAGGATATTATGTACTCGTCGGATTATAATGTTGTTACGGTTTAATGTTTCCTAGCGCAGGTGATAAGTATGCGAACTCATCTGACCATTATCATTAACGGTGAGCAAAGTGCTGTTATGGACAAGGGCACGTTGCTTGACCAACACGTTTATGGTTTAGCGTAATCAAACGCGAATTAGCAGCAACAGAAAACGATATGGAAGTCTCAGAGGATCCTGATGCCGACGCCGTGACCTTACACCTGTCTCAGACCCTTCATACTGCGATAGGTGTCTTTCTTTCAGCTTCAAGTGAGTTTAAGCAAAACAGGGTCTCTACAAGAAGCCGCTTACCCTAATAATTCCACGTCGTAGAACATTTATGGTATATTGATTCCATTCTATTTCACTCGGCATTTGCGAACCGATGGTCGGAGCGAGTGTCAATGAAATCGGTTGGAGTAGGCCGATCCAACGTGGAGTTCACTGTAAAAAAACTAGCGTAAGGTCGCACAACTGTCGCTTGCACTAGACCTCTTCTGAGGAATTTTCCTTTTCAATTCAAAAAATTATCTCGACCTGACCTAGAATACAGGTAAAAAGCCCGTTCATGTCGTGTTGAATAGTGTTTTCTGAAACTCTCTGTGTGAGAAGTTTGTTTTCTTCACAAATCTCCATGATCATATCAGCCCCTCGTACTTCGAGCAACCTTTTTACGAAGAAGAGTCAACATTTCACCCGCCAGAGTTGACCAGTATCTACGTCATCAGAACACGTCTTTGTTGAGTAGAGTTCAGGAGTGTTTCAAAGCAGACTGCTTCCAGGACTGATGTGCTCGAACAATCAAACAGGAGTTCACGTATGTTACCAGTGGCCTTTGGCCTGATGATTAACTGCTTATTGTTGCGATAACTACCCGAGCTGGCAACTGAGATCTAAGTTTGCGTTCAGCCTCTCCCCAAATATAAAATCAATTATAGTATTTGTTGATGTGGATTTCGAAGAGTGCTTTCTAAGCTGAGAAACGCTTCGAATAACATCTCTCGATCTTTCCTTGGGACGCATCATCTAGATGATAAGTAGATATTGGCTCTTTATTACATAACCCTTGGTCTATAGATATAGTGTATTTATAAAATAAGCGATATTTATGCCCTATGTTCTGTGCTTAAACTCTTGAGTATTATTTCAAACGCGTGCTTCCCAGCACGAAACGAAATTTGTCGACGCCCGGATTCGAACATGGAAGTCTCTATGTCCTAAGGTGCGTTGAGTATCGAAGACTATTATTTGCACTTTGGAGTAAACTTTGTTGCTTCAAGTTAGCTGTAGCTGGCTTTAAATGTTTTTTTACGAAAATTGTAGTTTTATTATGAAATTGAAAACGGAACGCAACGATTGCCAGGTCGGTGCACCGTGGTCTTGTCAGAAATTGTCTGTATAACTTTCCTTTTAGCTAGGAGAATGTTTCGAACATTTGGCATAGAAAACCCACCCAATTTAATTACTAGTCACTGTTTTTGCTGTTTAAAGATTTATTCCGTTATAAGTTTTTAACAATAAGCCAACACTAAAGCCGTGTATTAACAGACTGCTATAGTTGCCGTATTTCTGTTCTCAAATCGAAATGCTTACATACAAGTTGTGCTAGATAACCCAATTCTACATAGACCATTGGAACCCAGAAGGAAATTGAAGAGAAAATTTTAATGAAATTCTTTGCAAAAAAGGAGCGGGATATACCTTCCGCTCTATATTTATATTGAAATTTTATCGTAGATATACGAAGAATGCTGAAACCCCGAAGGGCCTGCATATTATCACTAGTTAAAACAGGACTGTATAGCGATTGGAGTTTGAAGCATGAGAGATAGTTGAAGTTGTCGGCGTAGGACATACCTCTCCGTTTAGCGTGTAACTGTTTGTTTTAAGGGCTATTTCTGATTCTATTAGAGTCCTGCAGGGCGCTGCCTACAACTCTATTTTGATATGAAAAGACTGGAACTGCCTTTGTGCTCATGGTCGGAAGGCATTATGTATACACGGATTTATGAGACACATCTGTGTGTGTTTCTTTTTAAATTCTATATAACTATACAATACAAAGCCCATTTGCCCCCAATGAAACTAGTTTGTATTGAATTAATTTTGTGTTTATTGCTGCTGCTCGTCTACAGTTGTGTACTGGTTTAATAAATAATATCTCAGAGTTAGGTGTAACATCCGGTACTATTTGCAATACCCGATACAATAATTTACTGAAATACATTCTAGCCTAGAAATCGTCTCTGTTATAATACAGGAATGCCTGATCCCTAATGACAACTGGCATGGTGGTACTATACTTTTGGGACCCGCAGTTCCGCTATGGATAGATGAACTCTGCTTCTTATCATATGGGCCAAATCGAACACTCTTCTTGTTGTTGCCTAGTAGAGGATACCTTTTGCGGCGTCAAAAGTTGCAATACAGGCATGCAAACTATACCTACCATTGTGAGCATATCTGAACGAAACTGCTTATTCATTAAATACTGCAATACTCATTAAAAAAATCTACTGATGAATTTAGAAGGTTCATGAAATCAAGCTACTTCAAATAAGCTTGTCCAGCCTTAAATGTATTTATGTAATGAATACCTACAAATTCATTGTCTTTTGGTACCTCATGGTACCTTTCATCCTTTTTCTATTATGCGTCTTTCTTTATTCTGAAGTTGGATGATATATTAACCTCAGAAGGCGCCGACAGGGCCATTGCTTTCTTGAGTTTCTACATTTTAATACCCATTACTTTTAACAGTTAGCTTGCAAAGAGCAAGGTGATGAAAGTGCTCGACGGTTATAGCTGGTGCGAGTTCCCTGAAGTTCCCGCTAGAAGACACTGCGCTAACTTTTTTAAATAGTAGCTCCGTACCGAATAACCTAATGTCATTGCTTTAAAAACGGGATTTCGGTATTGATATATATATATATATGTGAAATTCAAAATTCTTTAAATACACTTAGGTAACATATCATTCGATGCCTCCTTTTGTCAGCTAACAGTAAACAGAGCCTTATCCGCAACATCTTTTCTACGCGCACGATATTTGATAAGAAGCCTTATTTTGAGCAAAGGTGACTAACAGCTTTATAAACCAAGTCGTCGCATTTAGAAAGAGAGATACACATCTGTATCTATTTCAAAGTATGGGACCGACTTGGTTCCAAAGAAAACATCGACTTTTGAAACTATTGTTTCATCCGTAAACGTCTTCACTGCAAATCTATGGTGTGTTCTGAAGGCCTTAACCCTTAACCACCTGCTAGGTCTCGTTCTCCAAAGTTTCTGAAAGCGGTGCGGTTCATGTAATGTTTGCTGACAGCCTAAACTGAACGACTGATGAGCTCCATTCGACAACAGGTGTCCTGAATTGTGATCGATAACCTGCTTAACATTCATAATACTTCTAGTCTCGCTGGACCTATGTGCACAAACAGAGTCACCTTATGCTATACAATGTCGAATGGCTAGAGTTCTCTTAGCAGAAATAATCACAAGCACAGGTTTCCAGGGGGATAAACTTCACTTTATCTTCATGTACATAGCCCATCCATGTTAATGGTACCTAGCCTCTTTGTATGAAGGAGAAATGACAGCCTAACATGGTGATCTCGAGGCGTTGTTAACAGCCTGAGGCAAGGCACCTGAAGTATCATCACCTGAAGCACCCGGCCGTCAAACATGCATTTGTAAAGAATTAAGTTGCGAGATACATTGTGTCATAGGAGATTTATGGGGTTCTTTTTTAAATATATGTCAAAGTCTTCGTAATGAAAAAATTGTTTACATATTATTTTATAGTATTACATTTTACCTAAATGTTTCATTCAGCCGTACGTCTAGTCTCAGTAATCTCAACCAACTTGTCGATCACTCGTAACTGCTTGTCTCTCATTCGCAAAAACATCTATATATTATTTTAAGCATCGAAGGCCTTAAAGCTGCGGAAGATCAAAGACATGTTTGATTGATATTTATATGTAGCTCGTCTTTCCAATGTGTAAATAACAACCTCATAGTCGGAATTTAGATGAAGCAGGTGTTTTATAGAGTGAATTATAGGTTGGAAAATTAGCCAGAAAAGCAGGACAGAAGGACAAGTTGTGATCGTTTAATCGCTCTCTTCGCTTATTGGTACATGTTATGTTGCATAAGCATATCTAGTAGGACCAAGGTGTTTCGTCACAACCATTTCGGTATTTTCCTACACGGAGATCGGAATCAGTCATCGGCTTGGTGAAACTATCGATTTTTTGTTGAGAAATCCCGACCAACTCGCTGTTTATGTTTTTAATTGCGCCATTTTTATCACGCTTATTGGATCTTTGGCAAACTCTTGTATTTGAATGGTGCGTACCAATTTACATAATGTGGCACACATACAATTCAGGATATAAATCCCGATAGACTGTTTTAAGATAGAAAGTTTTAATTCTTTTATTTCTGTTCAAGTGGCTCTGCTCATTCTCCGAGTGTTCTAAGCGTATCTAAGGCGCTTAAAGACTGAGCGATCGCGAGCAGCTATTGCAGAGATTGACAACTATTCACTGTGCACACCTGCAACTGATCTCAGCGTTGGCATGAATTCTAACTTTACCTGATAGGTCTATAAGCTTTTTCAAAGGTCATGCCTGGCCGAAGAACTGAGATTATGATGTACCGTTCTATTGCCGAATTCGTAAATGGTTCAGTGGTCAGCTGCAGTACACTGAGTAACGTTCATTAAACCGGTAATCTTTATTATAACAGTAGATGGACGGTACCCCGACGCTAAAAAAAAAAAGAGAGACAACCCAATATTAACCGATTTGACGCGCACCGACGTTATCCTAATACATTTATATTGTATTTACCTGGCTGGCCAGTTCAGACTCCACTTGAACCCGGCGGAGATAGACATCATGTATTAGTTTAGCGATAAACAGTTGTTCTTAGGACCGAATTTAGAATTTAGGACCGAATGTCCAGTTGTTATTGAATACATATATATTGTGGAAATGTAGTTACACCTAATAACCGATTAAAAATAGATGACTTTACGGTTACATAGATCTCGGCCTGCAAATAGGGTATAGTTGTATGAATATGAAAGGGTAATATTCTATTGTACAAGCTAAATTATGCCATGTGGCCAATAGCCATTAGCTGACTGAGGCCTTGAATCAATCGAATCATGATAGCTAAGGTTTTAGGCAGTGTTTTATTGGTTGCACCAGGAAACGTGGTATAGAAAAATACGAACTATTCCTAACATTACAGACGAGCCAACCAGCCACCTCGAATAAACCTATTACTTCACAGTCTTGCAGACCAACTTGACTAACGACACCTTGTGGGTACTGCAAGATGTCCTGGGGCCATTTTTGCCCCGGTCTATTCATTGTGAGTTTCATGAATTTTCTACATTTGATCCTCTGCGCAAATTTGAAGTGGTAAAAACATGGTTTATCTCAGAGGTACAATTACCGCCACACGCAGGTGATTGGACTTCTACCTAGACCGTATTAAGCACTGGTCGGGCTGACTTTTTTTAAAGGTATATGATGCTAACCATTCAAAGAAAACGTGACAGGCGGATCCGATCTCTAAAAGTCCGCTAGTGACCTCGTTGACCTTTCTACTTCGATGTATTTTAAAACCGGCTGACGACAAGATCGGCCGAATACGAAGACCTGATGAAAGGCTTTTTTAACTCTGGGTCTTTATTGGAATGAGTGTGGTGCAGTAATTCCACAAGAATCATTCTTACTTTTGGAACCCAGTATTAAAAGTTACGAATTTATTTTCTACGTGACAGGTGGGTTACGAGAACGAACCGACCTTAAGATACTAACTTCTTTATTGAATCGGTCGCATTTGCACGGAAACTCTTTGGTCAGCCCAAATTGAGCGTAAGGCTTTACTTGGGCTTTGTATTATGAGCAATCGTAACAATCTAAGCGTATAAGAAAAACTAAGTTATACAGGAAGAGGAATAAAGAGTAAATAGTTTAGCATTAATCAGTGTCTGATCCGCATGTTTGTGGAACAAGTAACGTGTAATAGCTTACCTGAACAAAGGCAGACCTAATACTTTATTCAGCAGGTACTCCCAAATCCGCTTTTCGCAGTCTCGTTTATTCCCACAGTTTACCATAGGATATGAAAAGATTCGTGGCAGTCTGACCACAAAGTAATTACATTCGCTTTTGTTGTTATTGCATAGACGTACGTTTTTTGCCCACTGGTGCTTCGTGCGAAAAAGTAACTTGACGTTGTTTGTCATTGCAAAAATTTCAGTTGTAAGCACTGAGCAAGTTACAGTCAGGTAAGTTTAATTCATTTTAGTTCAAATGCTAGTCGATGCCACCAGCCTAACACCTACCATACGTCGGAGAATTTGATTTGAAAAATGATTTATTATCGTTAATATTATCATTAATAGGAAGCTCCCACAAACAGCCCCCCTGACGAAGTCGATCGCTATGAGGCCATGTACCAGCGATTTTCCTAATCCGCAATCCAGCATTTGCCCACGAAACTTGTTTCGCACTCGTCTCAATAAATTCCGCCGATCGAAATAACTAATAATAATACGAAGGTCCTATGCTACATGGATACGAAAAGAAGGCAAACAGATCGGACAGGACTACAGTTGTACTGCTTCTCTCTATAAAAGTTCCTTATAGTTTGGCTAAAAAACTTACATCCTTTTACCTGACTACTCAAGTCTTTCTGATCTATGCATGCACACATCACGAAGTTACGCTCCTGAATCATTCCTGATCAGCGAAAAAGAAGGGGGCCGTGCAGTGTGCTTGTTGTTGTTGTTGTTGTTGTTGTTGTTGTTGTTGTTGTTGTTGTTGTTGTTGTTGTTGTTGTAGCTTTTGCTGCTCGTAGGAATGATGGACCATGAAGAATCAGAAATTTCAGACCATGTTCGTCCCCAGACATTGGGCGCTTGTAACTGAGATCAAACAAACGTGGCCTGATCATCATCTTCAAATAACAATTTGTAAGCACTATACTCTAGCGAGTCATAATGTGCTGTTTACGTTATTGCGAGCACAAGATCCTACCCCTAGCCGTGTTCTGCTTTATTTGAAGAGCGATACGCTTAGACAGCGAGGCTCAAGAGTAAATCGCGTATCGCTTATTAGTTTTCCTTAATTCTCTGTTCTCGGCATCAATCGCGCGCAGATGCATCACCTGATAGACCGACGGAAATAATTCTTTCATGGTTACCTATGTTTTAGTGCGTTACGCTCAGGGAGATAACGCAGAGTTTCCCTCAGACGTAATTCTTCTAGACACACGTTTCCAAAACTTACAATTACGTGCTATTATTATTATGAGTTGACGAGCATTGGGTTCAATCTTGCGTCTCGCTATGGTAAAATTATTATCATCATTTGAGACACCGTCTTGCGTACGGATGTATTCTCTATTATTTTACTATTTACAAAGTCTGCTGATCCGAAGAAAAAATTCTATTTACGTGAGTCTGACGTGTCTTGAAGTTCCGTTTCGGCATATTTCGTTTTTTCGTGTGCGACTTCCTTACAACAGTGCTGTCCATATTTCTGTATACCAGTGTTGTACGCATTCTAACGATAGAGCTCTCGTGTCTACAGTTATAGACGGAACTTTCCCATTCGGTTACTCAAGTGAAGTAAGAGCAAGATGCAGGCACTGATCGTTCATCGATCAAATAATTACACGTAGAAGATAGTCGCGAAGGCAAAGTTACCCGCGGATTAAGCGCAAAGCTGCTAAAGTAAATATTGATTTATGGTTTGACGAGGGGGATGTATTCAGCTATTTGCCCTACTCGTTCCAATCTGATCCGCCCATTGTGCCTCCGTAGATACTCTATTGTGCTGTGTGGGAAATTAGGACAAGTTAGTCAGCAGTCCAATCTGTTATCCAAACGTCTGCTTTCGTCGGGGACATAGGTGTATGCATTGTGATACTCAGATCTCAGAAACGAATGATAAATGTATTCCAAGTTCAGCATTCGAGCCGGTCAACAGCTGCGGGCTCTAAATCGGATATCACAGAGCGTTGGCTATTTGCAAGCAAAAAATATCGGATGATACTCACTAACGTACTCTTTTCCATCTCCCCCAGGTTTGATCGGTATTTTGGCAAACGTAATCGTCCTGATTGCCTTTTGGAGACTGATTACCACGCGACTGTCACCAGCATCGATCGTGCTCATCAACCTCACACTTAGTGACCTCGGCATTTTACTCATGGGATTTCCTTTTAATGCCACATCGCATTTTGCTGGACGGTAGGCTGTGTTAACGTACCTATTCCTTTTTGTTTAAACCTAACGACTAAACATAAATGCTGCACTGAAATGTCTCGAGTGATGAGACATGCGCTCGCTTGCATGCATTTTACTAGAAATTTTTAAACTGGTCCGGGTTTTCAATGAATATTAACGTTAAATACCAGAATGGAGTACTTTTAGACTGCATGCAAAAATTACCGCACGTCCTGAAACGAACTTATTAAACAAGACAAAGAACGTACTACCAATCAAGTATATTAAAATAAAACGTAGTTTAGCTGAGCACATATCAGTGGAGTAGAAGTAGTGGAAATAGGATCAAGAACCCAGACACTGATCACGTCTGCTTTTTTTTTAGTACAAAAATAGAGTTATTAAGAACATTTTTCCGTTGTGGCGCTCAGTTTAAAAGCAGCTACTTCAAAACAGGATTCTAACCATTCACTGACTGACTATCAGTCAAACGTCCACGTGGGCTAGAAAAATAGACAAGCTTTTACTTTCTTTAGCTCGTCCGCAGGACAAGCTGGCGTCTTGATGAAAACTTGCCAACTAGATTATCCTTCAGCTCCGACGCTGGATGTCTCAACAAGTACCTCAAATTGCGACCATCGACCATATCTAGCACTATATACCGATGATACGTAGAGTTACGAAATCTTTCAAAGAAATCAGAGATTGCCCCAATTATTTTACTAGTAGGCAGGTGCTCCTCTCGGCTAATTCGTCACACATCGTAACATCTCGTATCCAAGCAGGCTCGCATTGTATTGTCAAAATGTGCTAGTTCTTTATTATACTCAAAGCACATTTTGACGACTCTCAGCAGTTCTGGTAAATGGCTGTCCAAAAGAATATCATAATATAGCTTCACTTCATAAAGGAAGGTAACATCTGAGGACTTGCTGGCTACATCCGGACAAACGTGCCCAGCCAATCGATTTTGAACTCGGCCACATCCTACGTGGATTCTCAAAGAGTCACCTGTGCATGCCTTTCTAGTACGTGCAACTTCTCTGATAAAGGGAAACACTTCATCTCCTCGCTCCTTCATGATGAAATGTCGAAGCACAATCTGGCCGTTTGCAGATACATATGGACAACTAACCAGCTAGAATACGCTGGGTGTAATCTCAGTATGCACACAGGCATAATTGCAATCCCTTTGTCTTTTTCTTTTATAACTGGCCTTACAGCACTTCTTTTTCAGCTCGGCGATTACATGAATATTGTCTAAATGAAAAAACGCCTTGAGAAGTTCTTGTATTCTTATAAGTTCTAAAAACTAACAACGGAACTTAATACGCCGCGTACGATCAGTTGTCCTTATACATTGAACTCGCTGATAACAGCGCGCATGACGTTTGCCTTGGTTGAATACTCTAGAACCACTAGTCATATCGACCTCTACCGCCAGCATTTTGAAGCTAATGATGCTCTTCTAAGTGTAAAATTCTAGTGCTGGTCTTCTAAGCAGCCCTTTGCAGATTCGTGCTTGGCCTACTTTTGCTACATAGTTCTATTTTACAAAACTGTGGAAGAATGGATTGGAACATACGACCCCTTATTGGTCGATCTCTCACCGTAAGCTCCTATCCGGCAAGCTTATAGCAGCAGTACACAGTGCCATACATATAAATTTTCTTCTTCGGTAGTTACCAGCTGCTCCATCGTACACCAACACAGCAAAATCTCTGATATATCGAGAAATTCACCTTTCGCTGGAGTATTTCAGGATATATACGAACACATCTTTGAAAATACACCCCCATTCTACATATTGGTCGTTACTATTGAGGCTGTACCATGGTCAGCGGTCTTAGTTTGACATATTGTGACAAAATCTAATACCCAATCTAAAGGACTGACGATCTATTATACACTGAGGTGTAGCAAGATATCATCCTGAAGCAAAGAAAAAGTATATTAATATACATCAAAGAGGGGTATGATTAATACAAGATAAAATCCTACCGTTACTCGTTCCTAGATTGCGGACGACTACGCAACATCCTCTTAACAATTGTTAAAACTTATTTCAATGTTTAACAAGCGGATGCGATGAATATAGGTTTGTTCCTATCATTTACTGACCTCATTTAACTGACTTTGGATAGGTATCTCCAACAAAAATCTAGAGTTCTATGCATACAGCTGTCACGTAATCACATATATGTGACATTCTTGAAAAAATCGTTATTTTTATTTTTATCCAAATTTCAATTTTTTCTTCAATTTGTGAGGGATACATAAACACTTGATGGTTCTGTTGGCAAATATGCTTTGTCTACTAAGTTTATTATTGGTCATTCTCGCGTGGTTCAGCTTCCTTATCTCTTCGCCACGAGAAGTATTTTCATAAAAATCACAAGGGAAAGTTTTCGATCAGTTGTTTCAATGTTTGGATATGTCCGTTTATTGAA